CAAACAGGCCTCTTTTGGAAGAAAATGCCAAAGAGGACCTTCATTACACAAGAGGAAAAGGCAATGCCAGGACACAAGCCTATGAAAGACAGGCTGACGCTAATGTTCTGTGCTAATGCTAGTGGGGATTTCAAAGTGAAGCCATTACTAGTGTACCATTCTGAAAATCCCAGTGTGTTCAGGAAAAACAATGTTATGAAGAGTAAATTGTGTGTGTTTTGGAAATCTAATAGTAAGGCATGGGTCATGAGGGAAATTTTCGTCGAGTGGTTCAATGAAGTGTTTGGCCCTAGTGTGAAGGAGTATCTCCTGGAAAAGAAATTGGATCTCAAGTGTCTGCTAGTAATGGACAATGCACCTGCTCATCCTCCAAACTTGGGTGACCTAATTCTGAAGGAGTTTGGGTTCATCACAGTAAAGTTCTTGCCCCCGAATACCACTCCTCTCCTCCAATCCATGGACCAGCAGGTTATTGCAAACTTTAAAAAAATCTACACAAAAGCAATGTTTCACAGGTGCTTGACTGTGACCACAGACACTCACTTGGCCCTAAGGGAATTTTGGAGAGAACACTTCAGCATCCTCCACTGCATAACCCTTATAGGTATGGCTTGGGAGGGAGTGGCTACCAGGACTTTGAACTCTGCCTGGAGAAAATTGTGGCCAGATTGTGTCGACAAGAGGGATTTTGAAGGATTTGGGACTGACCCTAATGAGCCTATGTCTGTTGTAAAATCAATTGCAGCACTGGGGAGTTCCATGGGGTTGGATGTGAGTTTGGAGGATGTGGAAGAATTGGTGGAAGACCACAATGAAGAGCTCACCACTGAGGAGCTGCAAGAGCTTCAGCAGGAAGAGCAACACATTGCATCTCAGAATCTTGCTGCAGAGGAGGAAGAGAGATGGAAGAAGGTGCCTTCAGAAATTAATTGATTTTTACTATGTGGGGTAAGATGGAAAGCTTTATGGAGAAACATCACCCTAACAAGGTTGTTGCAAGCCAGGTTGGCAACATGTACAGTGACAAAGTCTTGGGCCATTTTAGGGAAGTGTTAAAGAGGTGCCAGAAACAGAGCTCTCTCCACAGTTATTTTGTGAGACAGGACTCCAGTGACTCTCAAGGTGGTCCTAGTGGCATTAAGAAACAGAGAAGAGAAGCAGCCCCAGAAAAGCAAATGGTACCTGAGGTGTTGATGGAAGGGGATTCCCCTTCCAAACTATAAACAATCCACTCTCTCCTCCTCCTCCTCCAGTCTCCCATACACTAAGAAGAATCTCCAATAAAGGTAAGTGTTATGCTGTTAATGTTTCATTCATCATTTCCCATTGTATTGTATATGTACTACATGTATATTTCATGTTAAAAATTTTTTTGTTTTAATACTTCTGGGTGTCAGGAACGGATTAATTGTATTTACATTATTTCTTATGTGGAAAATTGATTCGTAAATCGTAAATTTCGTTTATGGTAACGGCTCCAGGAATGGATTAATTACGAAAAACGAGGGACCACTGTATTAAGTTTAATGCAATAAAATAATTACAATAACAGCAATAACAATACATTAATAACAATAGAATAACTGACACTTACCTTTAATGAAGATCTGGTGATGATTGATGGGATGGGAGGAGGGGAGTGTGTCAAGGTTGTTACTGTTTAGAAGGGTAATCCCCTTCCATTAGGACTTGAGGTAGCAAGTCCTTTTCCAGGGTTACTTCCCTTCTTTTAATGCCACTAGGACCAGCTTGAGAGTCACTGGACTTCTGTCACACAACATATCTGTCCATAGAGGCCTGTACCTCTTGCTCCTTTATGACTTTTTCCTAAAGTGGTTCACAACATTGTCAGTGTGTAGGTTGCCAACACGGCTTGCAGTAGCTGTGTCAGGGTAATTTTCATCAAAAAAGATTTGCACTTCAAGCCACTTTGCACACATTTCCTTAATCTTTGAAGTATCCCCTCCTCTGAAGCAGTTTCCTCAGGTCTGGCCTCTTGCTGTTGAAGATAATCTAGCAGCTCATCAGTGGTTAGTTCGTCATTGTCCTCCTCCACCAACTCTTCCACATCCTCCCCACTAACCTTCAACCCCAAGGACTTCCCCAATGCGACAATGGATTCCTCAACTGGCATAGGATTCTCAGGGTTAGCCTCAAACCCTTCAAAATCCCTTTTGTCTAAACATTCTGGCCACAGTTTCTTCCAAGCAGAGTTCAAGGTCCTCTTAGTCACTTCCTCCCAAGCCTTACCTATAAGGTTTATACAACTGAGGATATTAAAGCGATCCTTCCAAAACTCTTTTAGAGTCAGCTGAGTTTCTGTGGTCACTACAAAGCACTTTTGAAACATAGCATTTGTGTACAGTTCCCTGAAGTTGGAGATGACCTGCTGGTCCATGGGCTGCAAAAACTTCACCTTAATGAAGCTCATGTCCGCAGAAAGTCGCTCTGCCACGTCTGAAGGATGACCAGGGGCATTGTCTAATACCAGGAGGCACTTGAGGTCTAATTTCTTTTCAGTTAGGTAATTTTTCACATTGGGGGCAAATGCTTGGTGTAACCAGTCATAGAAAAAGTCCCTAGTGACCCATGCCTTACTGTTTGCCCTCCACAGCACACACAAATTAGCCTTGAGGACATTCTTTTGCCTGAACACTCTGGGAGTTTCAGAGTGATACACCAATAAAGGCTTCACTTTGCAATCACCACTAGCATTGGCACACATTAACAGAGTAAGCCTGTCTTTCATAGGCTTATGTCCTGGGAGTGCCTTTTCCTCCTGAGTAATGTAGGTCCTGCTTGGCAATTTCTTCCAAAACAGGCCTGTTTCATCACAGTTAAACACTTGTTCAGGTTTCAATCCTTCAGCCTCTATGTACTCCTTGAATTCATGCACATATTTGTCAGCCGCTTTGTGGTCCGAACTGGCAGCCTCACCATGCCTTATCACACTATGTATGCCACTACGATTCTTAAATCTTTCAAACTAACCTTTGCTGGCCTTAAAGTCACTCGCATCAGCACTAGTTGCAGGCAATTTCTTTACCAAATCATCATGCAACTGCCTAGCCTTTTCACAAATGATCGCTTGAGAGATGCAATCTCCTGCTATCTGTTTTTCATTTATCCACACCAATAACAGTCTCTCAGCATCTAACACTAGCAATCTCTGTTTCGAAAGCAAAGTTGCCTCTCTTGCAACAACAGCTTCCTTGATTGCCGTTTTCCTGCTCATATAGTAGAGATGGTTGATTGGAGTTTACTATACAACCTGGCCAGCTCCAACACACGCACTCCACTTTCGTACTTTGCAATTATCTCTTTCTTCATTTCAATAGTCATTAGCACCTTTTTTCTCTAAGGCTTGGCACTAGAAGCTTTCTTGGAGCCCATGGTTACTTATTTTGCAGAAACAAGCACCAAAAAGAGTGATAATATGGAATGTACCGAATGTATCCTTAGATGCGCGCACACTGGATGGCTTGTAAACACTGGCGCACACGGTGCAGTTCAGGCCACATGTGGACACGTCTCATACGAAACTGAGACAAATCGCATCGAATGTCGGGTTTTCCATCGAATGTCGAGGCGAATTTTTTGCATTAACCCTTTGACTGTCGCGGCCGTATATATACGTCTTACGAGTACCGTGTTTTGACGTATATATGCTCATAAATTCTAGCGGCTTCAAATCAAGCAGGAGAAAGCTGGTAGGCCCACATGTGAGAGAATGGGTCTGTGTGGTCAGTGTGCACAATATAAAAAAAATCCTGGAGCACGCAGTGCATAATGAGAAAAAAAAAACTCCGACCGTTTTTTTTTAATTAAAATGCCAACTTTGTGGTCTATTTTCATATAGTATTTATGGTTGTACTCTCGTTTTCTTGGTCTCATTTGATAGAATGGAAAACATATTATAGAAATAGAGGTGATTTTGATTGATTTTACTATAAAAAGAACCTAGAAATGGAGCTCAAAGTAGGGGAAATGTTTGATTTTTGCCAATGTTCAAAAGTAAACAAATGATGCCATTGTCCAATAAATATCCAACTAGCCATTCTAATATGCAGTCATGAATGGATTGATGTTATTTATACAATTATTACAGTATTGCAGTAGTCTGCATAATAGTAAGTCTTCTATTTTTTGTTTGAATAAAAATTCAAAATAGAAAGCAAGAGTAATATCAGAGGGGCCTGGAGACATGACTGATGAGCAAAGAAAATGTTATTTCAGAGCCAAGAATATCTGCATTGTTCATTCTGGACCTTATTTTGAAATTGTCATATTTTTTAGTTTTCATGAAATTGGCCAAATTGCAAATTTCTGACCAGATTATTAGGTAGTTGAAATCTGTAAATGGGCAGTTTCTTGTACTCAATCGATAGAAAAAATGACGTTCTAAAGAAATAGCTATGAGTTTGGGCGACTGAAACAATGGAATTAGCCGAAAATAGGACTCAAAGTGGGCGAAATCGCCGATTTGTAAACAGTGCCGAGGTCGCTAACTTCGCGAGAGCATAATTCCGTCAGTTTTCCATCAAATTTCGTTTTTTTGGTGTCATTACAATCAGGAAAAAATTCTCTATCATTTCATAAGAAAAAAATAATTTTTTTTTTAAATTTTGCGACACCAGGAGACACCTCAGGATTGGGGGTTGCGACAGTCAAAGGGTTAAAATGCATCGAATGTCGGATTTATCGAATGTCGATGCCATCGAATGTCGGGGGTCCACTGTATATGACCGAAACAGTCAAGGGGTTAAACATATAGCATTACTTATGAAATTCAATATACCTACTCGGTTCACATTAAAAATATTTGAAGGAACAAGTGAATAGAAATCAGAATCAGACAAATTTGTCAAACAAACGGAACCAAAAAACATTAAAATCCTCAATTTTATACCAAGAGCATCAAATGATATTGCACAACACTAATACAGAATTTAGTGCACCATTTTTTAAAACAATTTCAATTATGAACACGCTATACAAACCTTTTTGCAATAACTTGCTCTTCATCATCATCCTCGTTTTCACTATCCTTTCTTGGTTTAGGTGGGGTTCCTTCTTTATCTTCTGCACTCCTCCTGCGGTGAGGAATGCGTACTCCTCCAACCTTCACTGTATAAAAAATATTTGTGAAAAACTGAAGTCGGATTACTTGTACAATATTTTATCCTGTTCTGAATAATGCATATCTGAGGATATGTCTACATTAGATATTTTAGAATACTATGACTAGTGCATTTGTATTGAAAAATAATTAAATTAGATTTACTGTATTCTACAGTAATTAAAATTTACACATTTACAATTTTAGAGATTATACGTTCTGAATGTTGGAAAGCACTTTTCAGATTTTTTTTAAGATGCTTTCTGGTTGTTGAGGTGATCTGGGTATCTAAAAAGGACGAAGCAGAATAGGATGACCAAAAGGATGTATGAATCAGAAGGAAGGAAGGAGGGGTAGAGGTCATCCCAAGAAGGGTTGGAGGGAGAAGACTGAGGTTTTGAGCACTAGGCACCTGAGTTTCCAGCAGGCTTATGTGACCATGTTAGAGAAGTGGGGGGACAAGTACAGTGGAACCTCAGCTTACGAACGTAATCCGTTCCGTGACCTTGTTTGTATCCTGATTTGTTCATATGCTGAGTCAATTTCCCTCATCTAAATTAACTGAAAAGCCATTAATCCGTTCCAGCGGAATTCCTGCTCTCAGAGGCAGGAAAAATACACTTCAATATAATGCTAATATCAACTCTACAGCTTATTCATCTATCACAACTGATCTAATATGACATAATGAACAATATGAATAACATAGAAACCTGATATATATGCTAGAATGAATAAAATATGTCATTATGTGACATGTGGAGGTGGCCATAACCACTCCCGCATTGTTGTGGCATTCGCTGCAATCTCGTGACGGCCTTTCGAAGCCATCTATTACATGTATTATAATTATTATAGTACAGTGGTCCCTCAATAATCATCCATAATCCGTTCCTGGAAGTGGAACTATTATCAAAATAGACGATCTTCGAATCAATTTTCCCCATAAGAAATAATGTAAATGCAATTAATCCGTTCCTGACACCCAGAAGTATTAAAACAAAAATTTTTTTTACGTGAAATATAGATGTAGTACATAAACAATACAGTGGCACATGATGAATTAAACATTAACAGAATAACACTTACCTTTATTGGCAATTCTTCTTTGTGTATGGAGGACTGGAGGAGTCAGATTGGATTATTTACTGTTTGGAAGGGGAATCCCCTTCCATCAACACCTCGGATATCAATTGCTTTTCTGGGGTTACTTCTCTTCTCTGTTTCTTAATGCCACTAGGAACAACTTGAGAGTCACTGGAGTCCTGTCTCGCAAAAAAACTGTCCAGAGAGCTCTGTTTCTGGCGTCTCTTTAAAACTTCCCTAAAATGGGCCAAGACTCTGTCACTGTACAAGTTGCCGATATGGCTTGCAACATCCTTCTCTGGGTGATGTTTCTCCATAAATCTTTCCATCCTACCCCACATTTCAAAAATCTCCTTAATTTCTGAAGAAGGCACCTTCTTCCATCTCTCTTCCTCCTCCTCTGCAGCAAGATTCTGAGCTGCGATCTGTTGCTCTACCTGCTGAAGCTCTTGCAGTTCCTCAGTGGTTAGCTCTTCGTTGTGGTCCTCCACCAACTCTTCCACATCCTCCAAACTCACATCCAACCCCATGGAACTCCCCAGTGTGACAACAGAGTTCACAACTGACATAGGCTCATCATGGGCTTCCTCAAACCCTTCAAAATCCCTCCTGTGGACATAATCTGGCCACAATTTTCTCCAAGCAGAGTTCCAAGTCCTGGTAGTCACTCCCTCCCAAGCCTTACCTATAAGGCTTACGCAATGGAGAATACTGAAGGACCTGCCAGTAGGCCTTCTGCAGTGTTCCTCCATTCTTATGTTATGTTCTTTCCAAAAATCTCTTAGGGTCATGCGAGTGTCTGAGGTCACATCAAAGCACCTTTCAAACATTGCTTTGGTGTAGAGATTTTTAAAGTTTGAAATGACTTGCTGGTCCATGGGCTGGAGGAGAGGAGTGGTATTCGGGGGCAAGAACTTTACTGTGATGAACCCAAACTCCTTCAGAATTAGGTCATCCGAGTTTGGAGGATGTGCAGGTGCATTGTCCATTACTAGGAGGCACTTGAGATCCAATTTCTTTTCCAGGAGGTAATTCTTCACACTAGGGCCAAACACTTCATTGAACCACTCGACGAAAATGTCCCTTGTGACCCATGCCTTACTATTAGATCTCCAAAACACACACAATTTACTCTTCATAACATTGTTTTTCTTGAACACACTGGGATTTTGAGAATGGTACACTAGTAACGGCTTCACTTTGAAATCCCCACTAGCATTAGCACAGAACATTAGCGTCAGCCTGTCTTTCATAGGCTTGTGTCCTGGCAGTGCCTTTTCTTCCTAAGTAATGTAGGTCCTCTTTGGCATTTTCTTCCAAAAGAGGCCTGTTTCGTCACAATTGAACACTTGTTCAGGTTTCAGTCCTTCAGTCTCTATGTACTCCTTGAATTCCTGCACATATTTTTCAGCCGCTTTGTTGTCAGAACTGGCAGCCTCACCATGCCTTACCACAGTGTATGCCAGTATGCTTCTTAAATCTCTCAAACCAGCCTTTGCTGGCCTTAAATTCACTCACATCACCACTAGTTGCAGGCAATTTCTTTACCAAATCGTCATGCAACTGCCTAGCCTTTTCACAAATAAGTGACGTCATAAGACTATCTCCTGCTAATTGTTTCTCGTTTATCCACACCAATAATAACTTCTCAACATCTTCGAGTACTGGTGATCTCATTTTTGTCAGCACATTTACCCCCTTTGCAACAACAGCATCCTTGATTTCCTTTTTCTTGGCTCTGATGGAAGATATGGTTGTACGGGATTTGTTATACATCCTGGCCAGTTTGCCCACACATATACCACTATCATATTGTTCAATGATGTTTTTCTTAAATTCAATCGTATTTCTCACCTTCTTTACCAAAGGCTTGGCACAAGGAGCTTTCTTTGGAGCCATGGTAGCTTATTTAGCACTTGCAAGCACTAAAATCAATGGAATATTATGAAATATTTCGTTGGAGCAAGTGAGGGGACCGTCGCTCACTGGTAAACAATGGCACACTGGCTGGGAAGGGAAGGCCCAGGCGGCTCAGAACGTGAGTACGCGTCCCGGACGAAGGACTATTAGCGAGTTAACGGACCATTTGCGAGCCAATGTTCAGACGAAATAACAGGACTATTTCCGAAATGGACGACTTTCAGGCTGGACGATTATTGAGGGACCACTGTACATTATTATTATACATGCAGTGGAATGTTGGCTTACGAGTTTAATCCCTTCCATGACCTTGCTCGTATCCCGATCTGCTCGCATGCCAAGTCAATTTTCTTCATTTAAATTATTTAAAATGCGATTAATCTGTTCCAGCAGTATTCCTGCTCTCAGGAGGCAGGAATATGACACTAATATCAACTCTACGGCTTATTTATCTATCACAATTCATCTATATGACATAATAAACATATTTCAGTGGACCCCCCGACTTATGATGTCCTCAACCTACGTTAAAACCAACTTGCAATGCTTGTCAGCGTAAAACTTTGACCCCGACCTACGTTGAAAAACTCGACTTGCATCATTCATCCCAAATGCTGCAGTCTGGTCAGTCTGGCCTGAGCGCCTCAGCTGAGCTAGTGTGACATTGTTTACAAGCTGGGGCAGACAGTTGCACGCATACATTTATTTTTTTTTTTTACATTCAATAAATTTTGTATTATTCCAGTATTTTTAGTGCTTGAAAACTGCTAAATAAGCCCCCATGGGCCCAAAGAAAGCTTCTAGTGCCAACTCTGTGGTAAAAAGGGCAAGAAATACTATCGAAATACTATCGTACCATGGTCAGCTGCTGCTGCTGCTGCTGCTACTGTGGCACCGTCAGTTTGCTGCTGCTACTGTGGCACGTCAGCTGCTGCTGCTGCTGCTACTTGGCACGTCAGCTGCTGCTGAAACCACGGTCAGTTGTACTACTCAAAGATGTGGAGAGACTTATTGGATGTGGCTTATCGAGAATACCGAGAAACAATTAACCCAGAGGCTAGCCATCCAGGATAACCCAAGAAAGTCAGTGTGTCATCAAGGACTGTTTAACTTGTTTCCATTGGGGTCCTTAACCCGTAAACGGTCCAAGCAGATCTACGTTCACATGTGTAGTGCTACAAAAGTAGATCTACGTTTTTTTTCTACATATTTAAAAAAAAAAAAAAAAAAAAAAAAAAAAAAAAAAAAAAATCAAATTTTTTTTTACACATTTTCAAATGTAAAAACAAAAAAAATCTACTTTTTTTTACATACTTTCAAATGTTGAAAAACGTATATATATATGTTTGCACCGTTTACGGGTTAATCTTGTCCCCAGGATGCGACCCACACCAGTCGACTAACACCCAGGTGAACAGGAAAAAATGCCTGGAAATAGTGCTCATACTGGTGAATTTAAAGCCAGCAAAGGTTGATTTGGAGATTTAAGAATCATAGTGGCATACACAGTGTGATAAGGCATGTTCTGGAAGAAAATGTCAAACAGGACCTACATTACTCAGGAGGAAAAGGCACTCCCAGGACACAGCGTCTCATCACTCATCACTACATCTTCAATAAAGGTAAGTCATTTATTCTTCATTTAGTACACTAGTACATGCACAATATATATTGTGCATGTATCCTCCTTTTTGTGTAGGAAAATGCATATTTCATGTGGTAAAAAAAAAATGTCATACTTTTGGATGTCTTGAACGGATTAATTTGATTTCTGTTATTTCTTATTGGGAAAATTAATTCGACTTACGATAATTTCGTCTTACGATGTGCTCTCAGGAACGGATTAATATCGTAAGTCGGAGGTCCACGGTATATAACATAGAAACCTGATATATACATGTTTTATTATTATTATTATCACACTGGCCGATTCCCACCAAGGCAGGGTGGCCCGAAAAAGAAAAACTTTCACCATCATTCACTCCATCACTGTCTTGGGCCA